ACTAGTTTAGCAACAAAAAAAGACCTAAATTGTCGAATTTTTATGTTCTTTTTCGAAGTTTAATTTCTGAGAACTTAAATTCTAAGAGATCTAAATAAACCGAATTTTCTCCTATATATTTGTATATTTAAGAAAATTTTGATATCGCTGTACATTTATAATCTTGAAATTCTATATTTGAATTAAAAAAATTTACTAAATAACATCTCTTGAATTTAAAAAACTTCAATTTAATTCGATTCTGAAGAGATTATTCTCAAAAATATTGATAATCGTTATAGCTAGAATTGACGGGTCGAGAGAATTGTATTTAGCATATAGGGAGTATAGAAGATAGATTTTTACTCACTGTAAATATTCTGATAAATACGTGTAAAGAGTGTAAAGGAAAGAACGAATTACATCAACGGAGGATCCATAATTCGTATATTCTTATTGCCTTGCTTTGTCGAAGCATAGTGCATATCTGTGGATTTGTAAGTGCATAAAATGTAATATATTATTTTATCAGCAACATGGAATCAATGTCGATAAATTATCCTTAAATAATTTATCCCGAATTAAAATTATTCAACATGTATACTTTCATTTAATCAATCTTATAATATTTTTTTAGAAAGAAATCGCAAAAGTTTCTGTATATGATTGGAATTTACAAAATTCTTGTCTTCTGTACATATAGTTGTATGTAATATATGCCAATTTTTTATATAATTATATATTTACATTTTTATATTTTCTACCTATATATAATTATATAAGATATATTTTTTCCCGGATTGTTCATATAACTTCAATATATTAAATATTTTATTAAAGTTATCAGCTTCAACTCAAGTCGACACGTGTCGTTAGAAGCCATGTGAGTAAAAAGCATCCATTAAACGCATTTGCACTTAGTATAAAGACATAATGTTGCAAGTATAGTTACGTATATAATCGTTTATCCCTTATAATAACACATGAATAAATATTCCGCAAAAAGAAATGCGATCTAATCTAGATTATCTGTGTGCTCATTCTGTCTTTCAATACTTGCTGGTTGAAGGGCACATATACATACGTTATACAACATTATATATTTAAATAATTATAGCGTTGTATATTTAAATAATTATAGTATTTTCTATGAAATAACGCATATCACAAGATTTTTAGCATATATTTTATCTTTTTCAAGTGTCAACTGTTTTTTATTTATTATTAACAACGCTGGATATTTTATTAACGTCGTTAAATAATAAAACATGAGGCATAAAGTAGGATATATACCTATAAAAATTCATTCAAAGTATATCATCAGAATTATCTCATGGCTTTTACAGGAGGTAGTAAATAGCATTAGATTTCATGAAAAAAGTCAATATCATGTTCAATTGAAACTAAATCCAAAAAGGATAAAGCATTTGGAACTGATCTTCAAGTAGTACATGGGATTTAATTGTGGGGACAATTGTCATTCATTTAATTATAGTTAAAACATATAAAACGGTACCGATTTGAAATAAAATCATCCATAGTGTAATCTTTATGACCGATCATAACTATAAAATATTTCATTAACTGTTTGATATCGTTCTAGATAAAAATATGAATTTTTTTTCAAGGATGATCCATAGCTAGTGATCTTAATATACATACATCTATAAATAAAAATTCCGTGAAAAGAAAGACAATCTAATCTAGATTATCTGTGTTTATTCCGTTGTTCAATACTTGTTGGTTTAACGGCATTTAACATACGTTATATCTCCCAGTGAACATATCTTACAGTGTAGTTCCCACAAC